TAGGGTACCTAAGGAGCGGCTGGTGGGTTTGAACTACCGACCCTGAGGTTAGCAGTCCAATGCTTATCCTACAGTGCCACACTGGGACTCCAACTTCCTATTGGTGGACAGTCCTTCCTGAACAGGCTCCTTTGCTGTCCCCAGCCTCGCCAAAGACCTGGTCAGTGTCTGCACAGGTCCTGGCGGCCTCTGGTCCCTTATATCTGGAATGCTCCTTCTCTCTCAACATCAGGAAACCTTCTCTGAGTTTAGGAGCTGTGTCTCATTGTTGTCGCCTTTGTGAAGCCACCTGCTATCGATTGGATTGCTTCACCACTAAGCGATCTATCAGAGTGCCTGTGAACATGCTCTTAATACGTCAGGCTGGAGTAGGGAGGGTCCTAATCCCACCCGAGTGGTGTCCTGTAAGAGGACAGATGACACATGGAGACTGAGGGAAGCGTGAAGGTGGAGGCTGAGACTGGAGTGACGCAGCCACGAGCCCAGGAGTCCCTGAGAGATCCACAGAAGACTCCTCCCCAGAGTCTGCAGAGGGAGCCTGGTGTGAATCTGGACTCCTGGTCGCCAGAGCCACCTTCTCAGAAGTATTTTCTGGCAGTAGCCCTAGGAGATGGAGACACCGTCCCTTGTCTGTCATCTTCTCAGAGACTATCATCCTAGCTCTCCCCTTTGGTTGTAGGAGTTTGTTATCTGTCTAAACCGGAGGTTGTTGAGTTCCTTCATCCTTGGGACTGGGTCTCCTCTCTTGTCTCCTTACCGCCTAATTTTGAGACTAGGGCTCAATATTCAATATGAGTCATGTGACAATATAAAGTGTTAGTGTAGAGGTAGAAGTTGTGTAACAAAAAGGGGGGAGTAGCTAATGTTACATTCCAGGAACAGAGGACCCTAGGACCATCAAAAGAGAAGAGCGTGAGCGAAACATGGGATCCTAACCAGAGAAGCAATTACACCAGAGATGAGGGCAAAGGTGATGGCGTGGAGACATAGAGCAGCTGAGGACTCTAGATTCATGGAAAGACACAGTCTGTGTGCCGATGGGCAGGTAGCTGGCTTGCAGAATGGGCCCTTTGGTTGTTTAAACAATTTTACA